GGCGCAGCGGCCTGGGGCCCATGACGCCCCAGTGGTCCACGCACCTCATGGGTGGCTCCGCAGGCGAGGGGGTGTTGCTGGCTGTTCTTCCCCAGAATTAGTTCCCCTTTCTACTTTTTCCCCTTTTTTTGTGGTTCCCCTTGTTTTACACTAGCAGGCAAAAATATATATATCATTTTTTGCTGGGGTCCTAATTTCAGCCAAGTGGTTGTGATTGACTCTGGCGTTTTTGGGAGGCTTCCGGGTCAAGAAGGGTCTGTGCAGAAGTTACAGTAAATGGAAATGGTTCTTGAGTCCAAAGTTGTGATAGTGATGTCCACCAAAGGGTCCCCCAATCACAAACAAACCCACATGAGACAAACTGTGCGAAGAACCTCCAAGATTTGTGGCACAACTCATACTGATCTCGTCAGAAGAAAAACCCGCGTATGATCAAGGTGCCCTACTTCGAGGGATTTGTTTGTTTCCTGTTGAGTTGGGGAATCACTTTGGGGGCAACCCGTACATTTTGAAAGGCAACCGAAGGGAACCCTCCCATTTGCCTTTTTTCATCTCCTATTGGGAGGCAAATCCATGTGAGGGCTGGCTTGTGACTTTATTTCACCCCTGTGTGACCCCCTTGAACTCAGTTGCTCATAAACATGATGAACCCAAAGGATTGCCTTGAAATTGGCTGGGTACAAGCTGGAGACTCGTCTTTTTGGGAAAACCCTCCTCATGTATTCCCACCTTTTGGTTCCGCCTCACCGGTCCGGTTTTCGGGAGCTGCTTCAGCCTGCAACCATCTTTCGCGAGTTGGGGCCAATTTTTTCGGCGTTCCCATGGTTTTCCGCCCATCCATTGTCTTGCTGAGATGGGAATGGGAAATGGAAAACACCCAAGAAAAACCATCCAACTGGTGGTGGTGGTTTCCTTTAAGGGGACCAACGCCTGAGTTCTTTCCTTCATTCCCTACCTAGCGCGCCCAGCATGTTAAACATCTTTTCCGCTCATCTTATGGTTTTTGACAAGTTCCATGGTTTTCCGCCCGGTATTTTTTCACAAGCTTTAGCCACATTGCCCCACTGTGGCCGTTTTGGGAGCCGGCGCTTGACTGCCTTGCGAGGCCTTCCCCCCATCTCCCGCGGCTTCCCCTTCAGCGTGGCGGACCTGGTGCAGGTGCTGCGGCAAGCGACGGTTGGCGTTTCTCGCTTTGACCACTTGGATACTGTGGATGACCTCAGAATCCCTGGAATGATGCTTCCCCTGTAATTACCGACAAATACTGGGTTCTCATGATTTCAAACTGGTGCAGGATTTTGTCCATCCACAGTAGTGTTGATGAATCAGATGTTGTTCTCAGTTTGCCCTTTTTTGATACCAGGCTTTGAGATGTGCTGATTTTCACTCAGGCTCTCTGAGTCTGCAGTTTGCCCTCTCCACTTCGAGTTAGAGGGAAGATGCATGTTGCGCATGTGGGCGCCAGAAGGACATGGTCCATGTGATTCAGTGATGTGAAACTGACAGTAACAACACTTTGAGCTGATGGACGTTCGGTTCAATACACTGGAGGATCAGCTCCATGGTGCAAAGCTGATCTGGAGATTCCAGAGTCATTTGGCTAAATCGGGCCACGTTTGGAACAGGGGGGTTCCATGACCAACCCAGCACATAGTTGATCAGGCAATTGTATGTGCTACATTTGGGAACCTACGACATGCTGATTCCATGACTACGTTCAAACCAGGCAACAGCATTGCTTGGCAACAGCTTGCATTGTTGCTTGAATCTTAATTGATGGTCAGACATGCTCAAATCGTCCTGGGCTTGTTCACGGCTTTGTGTCAAGAACCAGAATTGCGGGCAGGCCTGGATGTGAGGGTGTCTCAAGGGCAGAAAGATGGTTGGTTTCGTGTTGGTTTCCTTTTGCCCGACCCCGAACAAGTTGCCTCAACAGACAACACATGTAGTCAACACAGTCCCACTCACACGGCCAGGAATGTAAATAAGGAACCTCCTGGAGAGTGGTTGGTGGACATACATCCCCACCGAATTCTGATGTCCACCAGAGGGTCCCTATTTGCAATTCATGCCCACATCCTTGCCGATGCATTGCTTACATCAAGTTGGCGGGGGGGTTGCTTGTGCGGCCAAAGGGAGCCCAACACATTGCCCTTGAGAAAATCAGCGGCGGGGTGCCAACAACTTCCATTCGGACATGGGGGTTAGTCGCCAAAATCCCATGTCAGCCAGGGACACAATGAGTATGTTGGCTGCTATTGGATCTTTACCCTTGATTTCGTTGGAAAATATGTGTTTCTTTCCGACTGATTGACAAAGACTTCAACATTTGCACAGGGAGGCACGGAACATCCACTCAGCCGGCTCGTCGGGCCGATGGGCAGGTCCCCCCAGATCTGGAGGTGGGAGAGTACCTGCCGCATGGCCTGTGGAACAAACCGGGGAGGGTGCCCACCGTTCGTTTGGCGTTCCCTGGGCAAAAGGCCCGGTTTGGAGCTGTAAGACAGAATGGGACCCAAGGCAGCATGCGAGATACCGCATAGTTCTCCGATGATCATGGCGTATTTGGGGGTCTACCAATTGGAAAAAAAATAAGTTTGTGTTTAGAGTAAGCGGGTGGAGTCAGAGTGCAGATTTACAAGATACAAAGGTGACTGGCATGATGACATGCCTCACACCCATTGGTTCATGAATATAGCTGCTTGGGGACGACAAGCAGTCTTTGGACAATCTCTCTCACGATCTGGGGAGAAGGGTATGTGAGTTTTTTTCATCGAGATTCGGGCGGCCAATCCTGGTGATTGGCAATTCCTGGAGGATTGCGAGGAGGTTTTGCATGCTCTTGCTTTACCTGACTTCTCTGTCGCTGGTTTTTTCGGAGTCGGGATGTAAAATCAAAGACCTTCCTCCAGGGAAACTACGAGGAAGACCAGGCATTTCCAAGGCTCCTCGATTTTGGGCAGGGCGCAAGCGTGTTCAGATCCAATTGCCAGGCGATACCTACCATGCCTCCTTAGATGGGGACCGGTGAAAGAACCTCTGCCCAAAAATGGCACAGTCGCCTGAACTCGACCAAATCACCGGCCAAAATGGTGCACCCCCTTTTGATTGGTATTTACGGGGAAACCAAAGGGAATGAAAGGGAAACCAACCATCTATGGAGCCCCATTTTGAGAAAGTCAGACGGAACATGCGGCCCGGCTGTGTCAAATCCGATTGGATTCCTCCAATGTTGCTTCCATGTTGATTTCCCTCAAAGGGCTCCTGTTCCTTTGCATGTTTATCTGGAGCCCACAAGGGAAACCATGTGTCAAAAGGGATGGGTTCTGTCCAGAAAGCCCTAACAATTCAACAGAAATAGCTGTTCGGAAGAACGGTGGTTGAAAAAAAGACGCTCGGAAATGGCCCATTCAAAGCCAAGTAACCAACCTCTAGAATGTACTAAACCCTGCCCTTCCATCTAACCCACCGCAAAACAAACAAACAAATCGCAGACTGAGGCTGTCTTGGCGCTGGGACTGTGAGCAATCCACGTGCCGAGCCTCAGAATGGGAAGACGCCTTTGCCAGACTTTGCGCGCATCGGTGTCCTTCTTTGGTCAGTTTGGTTCATGGGTTCGTGCAGGAAAAGACCTGGCTGCGTTTCTTTGCTACAGGTTTTTTCCGTGATTGGAGGTATATCCAGTTTGGTTCAGACCATTTGGCACTAGTTTGAGTCCGATTCCCAAGCGGCAATGGGTGCATGGGTTGCTTCCTCTTCCTAAGTGGCAACGGGGCAACTGAGCAGCGGCCAAAACCACCATTGGCCATCTTACTTAGTCTATGTGTTGGTGGAAGCAACAGTCAATGGGTGAAACGAGCACTGCTAAATTGGCAACAAAGGCACGGAAGTGAGGCCAGGTGGAACCTTCAAATTTGGGAGGAGTTTCGCACCAGGATACTGTTGGTTCTCAGATGAGCAATGACCCTGAACTGAGCCATTCAACCGGTGGTTTCCTTTGAGTCAGTCGAGGGATCCTCTTCTGGTTCATTGCCTAGCTAAACCCTTTGGACTCCCTAATTACGTGTTTTTTTACCCCCAGCGGACCACTGGTTGCTCCCGTTTTATGGTGAGCTCCCGGGCCGGAGGGTGAACTATTTCTTTCCCAGGCTCTACAATGCTTAATCCTGTTCTATATGTTTGTTTTTTCCCTTTCTGGTGCGTGTCAAGTATTTGCTGCTCACAATATTTCAGAGACCATACTCTGCGTGGGTGAATCTCTACAAACAGATTTCTGGTTTGGAACTCTATTCTCAGATCACCTTCATCGGGCTGTTGGTGCCGCCGTTTTTGCCCGGGGCTTGCAAGCCAGGCAAGTCTGGCAGAACTGTGCCGACATCCAGATCGTGCACCTCGGCTTTGCCTCAAATTGCGGAGCCGACACAATCTGGAGAAAGCAAAGACACATGGCACGGGCGGTTTCTCGCCAAAATGGGCACCTGTCGAATTTGGAGGGGTGAATGACTCTAACCTGAAGATTCACTTCCTGCACTGATCCATCCTTCTGCAGGTTTTTGTGTTTTTTCACGGATATCAATTTCGTTGGACCCTGAAGCACACCCCGACTTAAAGATCCCCGGTGCCATTGGGTCGTTTTCGGCCTCCTTGTCATGTCTCCCGGGGGAGAGAAGCGACCAGGTGTGACTCGTTTTGGGTATCCTTTGTGGGTTGGGTTGCGGAAACTGAACGGAACCAAAAGGAAGCCAGAAGATGATTTGAGCCACAATCAAATCCCGGTAGATGAAGGTTAGTGGGCGATCCCAACCAAAATTGGTGCGGCCGCCTTCTAATCCTTTACATGGTTCTGGGTTCACCATTGTACCGGGTTTTGATTATGACTCATTTGGTGTCCGCTATTTGCTGCCACCAGTTGTTTCTTGCAGGGTGACCCAATGATTTCTTGGCATACTGCACACAGTCTTGGCCTCAGGAGTGCAGAGGGCGGCACCATCCTTCCGTGAGGACAGGATGGCGCGACCCGGCTTTTGCTTCAGGGCGTGGCAGTACAGCATCAGCCCTAGATGTGCGTTTCGGCTGTTCCCGAATTGACCCTTAAAAAAGGGTTTCATTTGGCTACCCTTCAGCCATGCAAAAGGGGTCGTTTTTTGATTGACAGAGTTGGGGTCATTGGCGGTTGGCTCTTCCTTGGAACATGCACTGCACGGCGAATTCGAAGCCGTTTTCGGCGCTGCCCGAGACTTTTGGACGCCACGAAAGCGGTTTTGCTCCGTGGCCTGAAAAGAGGCATGACCTTGTCAAGTCGGCAAGCCTTCTTGATGGACATCTTGCCCCCCCATGGTAGACAAGATGCGCTTCTTTGAGAAGGGTGTCGCAGGTTCTTGGGGTCAAGCTCGATGCTATCAAGATGTATGCTGTGGGCCGCCTACAAAACACGCGTCTTTTGCTATGAAGGGCACAACTCAGCTCTTGGAAATTCTTGGCTAAGAACACCTTCATGCCGCAGTGGAATCAGAAATAAGGTTGACCTGGAATTATCAGACATGTATGGGCTGTACTTCTTCTCAAAAGGATCGATCACAAACATGCCCATGTAAGGGAGGAGAGGTACATGCTATGCCTCCCTCATGTTGTCTTCTTTGGTGTTAGTTTCGAATCCTGTGTTGGCATGGCAAGTGAGATTGCGTCAAAGCCTTTGGCCCTTTCGCGATTCATCCATGCATTCTTACTGCAGATAGCAGGTGTATTCATTGCTAACCACGTTGAATACGCGCGCTGGGGTGTTTGATGCAGGTATCAGACGCATTATGTGTGTGTGCCCCTTTCCAAGTCATCCATACCACTGCAACTGATTTTGCGGTCCCTAGACCTTGCCGACTTGCAGCTCTGCTTTTGGAAAGCCACGGAGAGAGGTGGCATGCTCAAAGCCCGGGTGGCTGGCTGCCATGCTGAGAGCCGAGTTTGATGTAGATGTTTCGCAAAACATGTGGCCCCCTTTTCGGATGCTGAAAGGGAAAGTGAAAGGATGCCAACTGTTTTGAGGGGTTCTGCATTTTAATTAGCACACACCCATCTCCCAGCAATTGAACTCGCTTCGCCTTTCGTCCCCTATGTAACGACACACCCACATGAAGCTTCACAAGGAACTGTTTGTTCGTGATTGTGGCCTGTGCGAGTCATTCTTTGTGCCGAGTGTTTGCTTGTCTACAAGCTCGTTTCCCACCTAACGACCCAGCTGCCACTTGCATGTGAAAGAAACTCAGTCAGGCAGTACGGAGCCGTCCTTCGATCATAGCCCATGTTCAACCAGTTTGGTTGAACATAGATGGCACTGGTTTCATGAAACAAATGCATCTATTCTTCCACAAGGAAATTTAGGATCATGAGTCATGAGTGTCCAGTTCTTGCCTATCGCAATGTCACAGGGCGAATCACAAATGTCTCAGCCCGCCAGGCTTGTTTTGCCAAACGTGAAGCTTACCCCGCATACATTTGTCTCCGCAACAACTCTCACCTGACTCGCCAGTCTGCCTTGCCGCAAGCATAGTGCGACCTTTGGGGCTTAGAGCCTTGGGGATTGCTTTACACAATGTACAAGTTCTTTTGTCAAACCCCGTTCCCGGAACCGCCGTTTCGCAACGATTCGGTGCGAAAAAGCGACGGAAAAGATTCGCTCGAGCGGGATGTCTCAGGGATACGGTCAGCTGATATAGTCATAAGTCAGCAGATGAACCCCCAATTAGCCCACCCACTAGCTGTATGTATCTATTGGTTAGGTATGCTCACTGAATGCTACTCACCACATATTCGATTTCTCAAACATGCTGACAAGCATCTAGGTTCCTACCATGCCCAAAATGAACACTTCGAACTATGTTTAAGCCGTAGCATTGGGGGGTGATATACCCGGATGGCCCCGGTACTCTGTGTCATCCATTTGTGGCTATGATGTTGGGCCATTTTTGGGTATGCCAATAGGACCTAAGATGGGAGCCCGGGCTTGTGAGGCTTTGCTCCTATGTCTTGGCAGCCTTCGTGAGAACCTACCCTGCTATCTCAGGATGACTTGGGTTCTGTCTCGGGCAATCCAATCAACTGGACCACTGCAAGCAACGTTATGGTCTTTTGTCAACCTTCATGGCAACGAGGGACCCATGGAAAACCCATGGGAAACCCACGGGAAACCCACGGGAAACCCATGGGAAACCTAGACCAAACCGAGCAAAACCCGCGGGGGCTTGATCAATTCTAAGGCTTTTTAATTGGTCTGCGAGCTCACCGATTCAGGGATAAATCAAACGAAAACCCATAGCGTAGGACTTGAGGGTCCAGTTCTTATTTCAGGTTTTGGAGTTGTAAAATGTGCAGATGAAAACCCAGTTGATTAGTAAACCCCTGGTTGAGTTTGATGGGGGATCCCTTACCCTAGTTAATTCAGAAGACTGCCGCCATTGCTTGGCCGAGCCTATCTTATGAGTGTGGTTCCTTTTGACATGAATCCCATTTTTTGGGGGTTGGTTAAAAGCGGAAACCAGGAGGACAACCAACTCTTAGGGGGTCCTATTTTTATTTTCCTTGAAGGGTAGCTCCTTTTTTTTGGGGGAGGTTGGTTTAGAGGGAAACCAAGAGCACACACAACACCAACAAAGTTGTTTGAGAGCCCACGACACACCCCATATTTGAATTTCCAGTGTTTGGTGGTTGAAGCAACCCCATTTGGGACCATGTCGATTGGCTTTCCTTTGCGTGGGGTAGTGTGAAAGCAGACATATCCATAAGCCTATGGAGAAGGCAGGCTGGGCTGAAAAGAATCTATGGGATTATTCAACGCAATGATGCCAGATGCAGAAAGCCTTTTGCTTCCGTTCGCAATTTGAGCCTTTCATTGAGAGAAGTGGTGATTCTCATTCCTGTAGTGCTGTAGTGGGTAGCATGAGAACCTTTATGAATCTCAGACTTGCACTTGCTCATCAACATGTTACAGTCAGGGTTTGCAGTGCCATGGACACATGCCAGCTGCTCGAACTGCAACTAGCATCCTGGTCACAGGAAACTGAAGTGTTGCTCTGTAACGGCGGACGCAGTAGTTACGCAAGATGTGGCAGCTTGTCAGACTGATTGGGTTCCAAACTGCTGTTAGACTGCTGGAAACAAGGGGGGGTCAATGGGGAGCTCCGCAAAGTAGGAGGACCCCCAAGATGTGGTCGCAGGGAGCGGGGCTATGCCTTTAAGCGGATTTCTTACGCTACACTCCCTTTCAGTGAGGACATGATGCGACCCACTTTTTCTGAGCGAATTGTTTCTAGAGAGACAATCAACATCTCGTTTCAATCACAGAAGTTAGCTGTTTGTCAAGACTGAGGGCGGTCCCAGATCAGTTTTGTTTGGGCATAATACGAGCGCCACGAATAAGACTTGGTCAGAACTACCCTGACGATGTCAGTTTGTTTGTTCTGAACTAAATCAACCTATAGTATAAACATAGATAGGGTTGTCTTGAAATAGGGACCCCCAAAAGTAGGCAGTTGTCTTTCGGGTTCCCCCATATACATACATACACTTGACATGTACATTTATGTATGTACACAGTTGTTTTTGTATCAACTCCCTTGAACCTAAAGATTGTCGACGTGACTTTTTTTTTGGGGGGGGGGGAGGGAAAACATCCTAGTGAGTGTTGGGCCAAATTGGCATATTTGCAGACCAGGGTGGGAACCAGGTCCAAGCAATTGCCCCCGGTCTGCAAGGCCGATTCGGAATCCACCCTCGCCAGCGCCGCTCGGGCCCCCGGGCCCCTGGTCCTGGTGCTTGGAGCGGAGGGGGTCAAAAGCTTTTTTTTCGGCAGATTTTACGTGGAAGCCCCGACAGTCATTCTTAAGATGAATCGCTTTTGGGGTCCTTCTTTTTGGGGCAACCGCCTTTTTTGGGGCTCCTTATTAGTTTGCAGGGTGTATTTGATGATTTGGATTGGAGGGTTTCGGATTTGAACCCTGCTTCTTCTACGAAGCTAAATGGGAAGCATCCCCCGAAACACCTCCTGCACAATCCACGTCACCACTTGCGGATCACTCCTCAGGAATATGTTCTCAAAGCAAGTTTAGACGGAGGTGCCGTGGTACTGGAACTAATTCGGCTGTGGTTTCTCAAAACCTATCCACATATACGCATGTACATTGATATATTTGTATATATATATATATACATATACGTAACTACATATACATGTTTGCATCTCGCCTCAGAAGCGTGAAGGAAAACATGTTATTGTGCGAACTGGTTGGCAACGCGTGGCCTGACGGAAGCATGTTCGGAGCGGTCTTGGAGGTGTGTTGCGCTTTGATTTGCGGACGTTGTTGCGTTTGACCTTCAGAATGTTATGTTTGGTCATCAGTTTATGGCTTCCAGCTGGGGCAACGCCATTTTGGTTTTGGCCAGTCCATTCAGGACGTGATGTTTTTACATTCGGAAACCGCCACCCATGGGAGGTGGACGTGGATCCTCTCGTGCTGTCCACCAAACCTGGCCCTTAGGTCCTCCGGCCACGCCTCGGAGCGCAACACCTTCAGCACCTTTCTGCGCGCCTGGCTCGCTGAACGAAAAAGATACGGACGGGTCGAAGCTCAGAGGAAAGGCACGAAAGCGTTCTCCTGGTTTTCTTGGGGGTTCGCAGGTGAGTGTGATATTTGTTTGGTTGCCGCTTTGGTGACAAAGTGCATTGATTGATTTTTGATGGAGGGTGGTGCCAGGCTCCCTCCCCGAAGTTAAAGTGGAAATTTGCACCAACTTTCCCTTGTGGCTTGGAGGTGGTGGGTCCCTTCATCCAGAAATTTCCCAATGCACGGGCCCTCAAGCAGGGTTGCTCCGAGCCGTTCCCCAAAGATCATCAAGATGGGGTAGACCATTGGCGAAGGATTTCCTTTGGTGTACCTTTGCCAGAGACCAAGGAGCAAACCTACAATGAAAACCCTTCCCCGATTCTTTTCTCATGAGCGAGAGACAGCTG